AAGCAGTGAAGCAGATGTCTACAGGAGTCTTTCTTTTGAGACAGACCTTGGCACGTGGCACACGGTGGCTGTGGGGAGAAGTGGCACATGTGAAGCAAGACATTGCTGGTCAAGAGCCTTCCATAAGGTTCCACTTCTCCAAGTGCCACCCTCTGCAGCCACCTCTACTTAGAACAGCTTGCTTCCTTTTTTGCTGTGCCAGCAAGCTCTTGGGTGTGTTGGCTGATAGTGATGTGCTAAGAATTCCCTTTTGAGGGGTGTTTTGAAGAGTTGAGTAATTAGCATCTGTTTGGGGTAAGAGAATGGCATTACTAGTCTTTCAGAGGAAAGAGCCACTGCATTCAGCTGGTTTTTGTTTCAGAGCTTCTGGGATGACAGGGGCTTCACTGTTTGGTTGCTTTAAAGTAGATCCCAGGCATCTTTTACCATTTAATTTTTTTCAGATGAAAATCAAAAGAAATGCATCTAATCTCCAGTATAGTCAGCCAGAGAAGTTCTCCCAGTAATTTCTGAATCAAGTCCGTGGCCTTTCCAGGATGGAGAGCCCAACACATCCCACCATAATCAAGTGGTTAATTCCCATTGCTGTATAAGAGTGTGTCCCACATTTCTCCTCTGACATGATCTAGCTTTGGCTTCCAGATGCTGGACCTCCTTATGACTTCTTTTCTATGGTTTGAAAAGGTTTAAATAGAATAAATAAGTAGCCTTATAAATATTCTAATGTCACAGCTGCTCAGGAGGTCAAGAAAAGCTTTTCCACCTTTCCCTGTGCAAAGGTCTGAACAGTAAAATATAATGATAACCAGCACATGCAATCTGAGCTGCCTCAAGACAAGATGAGCGGAGCATTTTGCATGGGAAAGGACCAGCATTCACTTGTGAGGAAAGCAAAGCTGTAGTAGGATGTGGTTTAACCATAACCATTCACCTTAACAGCAGGTAGATATCTAGGAGTGGGTCAGGCTTAGTCTTCTCTCTGCAACCTTATTACGTGCTGGAGCTGCTGATTGGTGTCCCCAGTGGTTGGTGGCCTGGGGTGGGTCATGGGAGCCTCCCGCTGAACAGACCTGCTCAGGGCTCTGCACCAGGGACGTCTGAGGTCTCCCAAAGATGGGAATTTCTCAGGTGGAGTGGACAAGAAACTGTAATTAAAGAACAAGAGAATGACCGAAAAATATTGCAAGTCCAGATGTCAGTGTGCCTGGAATTTAACCATCAGTGGCCTTGAAACAGTCTCGAACCCCCAGCTGCAGCTCAGCACTGAGAAGATGTGGAAGAGGCTGGAAAAAGCTTTAATATCTGACCTGTTAGAACTTTAATGACTGCCGTGCTCCACACAGCAGCTTTGCGAGCGTGACGTTTCAGATAGGGTCCAGCTTCAAAATTGATTAGATTTAATTTCTTTCCCTTTAGTCCCATCCTGCACTCATCTGGCGCCTTCCTCTGCCAAGAGATCTTGAGGAGATTTATAAATCATGGGCAACAATAGACTAATAATCAAGAACCTCTGGGTTACGGCAGCCCCTGCCTCCATCTGTTGGGTTTTCAGGAGCACATTACGTGTGGTGGAAAGCCACATTGCACGTGCAAGAGATAGGGGAAAAGGAAGAGTTTCAGCACTAAGTGATCCTGGCCTGGAGGTCTAAGTGACTCTGTGTCTTCCTGACCATTCCTGGACCACACACTAGGGTGAAGGAGCTGGGAGAAAATGCCCACAGCCATTGCAAGTATCCCCAGATACTGCTGGGGAAGCAGCATCTTGGCTCTGATCCTATCTTGGACCAATCTCATCATTTCTTTGCTCTTTTTTTGCCCCATCTTTCAGCAGGACGATGGTACCTCCAAGTCTTCTCATGCTTTGCCATCATTTGGGGCTTGGAAAGCAGCATGGGCCTAAGTCACCCTGCCCTGAAGCTACAATATCTGGGGCTACAGCTCAACAGAGAACCCAGGCCATATCAAGCAGTAACAGATGAGTGTAAAACACACGGTAGAGGAAAACCATGGTGTTGGGAATGAGTGGTGTCACTCTGTTTAATCACCTTCCCTCTGCAGTCTCTCATGGAAGTTCTCAAGAGGAAATTTTGTTTTCTTTGTATTAGCCTGAAAATCCCTTTCAAGCCTTTGCTCTGACTACCAGAGTAACGAACGGCACCTTTGTCGTGAAGGTAGAATTCAGCCCCATGCTGGCTTTGCAGGTAGGAAGGGATGAATATTGTTCCAGGGATGAATTTCCTTGTTAGCATCCTTTTTTAAAAAAAAAAAAAAAAAAAAAAAAGGAAGAAAAAGGCTCCACTGAAGTGCCTTGCCATAAAATTAAGCTTTGATCATACCCATTTGCTTGTAATGAATGCAGATGGGTTAGCAGCCACTGGGTTGTACCTCTCTGATAATACATGCACTGCCTTTCATTTCCCCGCGTGGGCTCGCACGAGATGCGGGGCTGCCCTGGCTAACGAATCCAGCTGGATTAATGTGGCCTCCTGCATCCTAATTCCCGGCAACCCAAGGGACGTATGCAGATGTGTCGGGATTGCTGTGCAGAAGGTTCAGATGTTGCGGAGAAGTAGCCCCTACGTAGCTGGTGCCGTCGGCTTTCATATGGTAATCATCCTTTTCTTCTTCTTCTTTATTTTTTTAAGTCATGCAAGGAGCTTAGTATTCCTGTTAAATCAAAAGGCTTTATTCTAAAACCCAGACATTGGCAGGCGTTTAGCCACGGTTTTAGTGTTGTAGCGAGGAGAAAGCAAACTGGAGAAGCCATGTAAAGAAGCAGCAATATTGTCTCTTCTAATGTGCGGCCTTTTGATTTTTAAGCTGTTAAAGTATATTTTGGAGATTGAGGTGCTTGATGAAACAGAAACAGGGCAGGTAAAGCCTAGGGTTGATTCCTATTCGCACATTACCTGTCCAACCCATGGTATTTGCTTGACAAGAGGATGCATGGAAGGGTCCTTCCTCTTGGTAGCCAGAACAGACCAGTTAATGCCATGGGGCCAGTGAAAATCCCACCCAAGTTCTGCCAGTGATATCCCAGGGGATAATATGAGCTATGGTCCTCCATGCAAAGTGAAGCCTCCAGGACAGTGGTGGATTTGGGTTGATGCAGCAAATTCTGCCCTCTCCAAGGATGCCATCAGAGATGTTCACATCACTTCCTCCTGTGATGAGAGACAATAACTGGCCCAGTGGGCACCTTTTGGCCATTCAGACTGTTGGTAGAGCAGTGGTTGTTCTGCTCTGTTTGCATCAAGCCCAGGGTGGGACTGTCTATGAAAGTAAAGATACTTGCAAGAATAAGAGAAGCAGCATGAAAATGAGCATCAGAGAGAGAGCTTTGCCACATGGCAGTTTTGTTGGAGCAAAATAATCCTAAATTGCAGCTAATTGTAATAAGAAACATCAGTTAATTCCTGGTTTTTGCTTAAGAGCCAAGTTGATAAATGCCAGAGAAACGGAGGGAAAGGTTGTTATCCAAGTGCAGTGATGAGCCTAGGATGTAGCAGGCACAGCAGCCAGGAGAGTGTCCCTCCCTAAGCAGTAAATCTAGGATCTGAATGAGGTTTTCAGATTTTTCTTTTATTTTTCACCAAATCAGGTTCAGGAAGGTGAGTGGAATCAATTGCTGTCTCTTGCAGGTGGATATGGAGGGCACGATTATGCATGGGGTTGATACTGTCACCCTTTAATCTCGATACAGAAAAGGACATTGGGCTTGTGGGGATATTGCAGACACTGTGATTTTGGTTTTGATGAGATTGTCCTCTGCAAACAACTGAGTAACTAATTCCCCATCCTGATTAATAAACAGAAAAAGCTAAATTAATCCCGGATAGAGCTCCCTGGAAGTCTCTGGAGTTTCCCCTAGTATAACTTGAGCACAGAGTTTCTCAAAATTTGCAAGAGCTCTGTAAATCTGAGGTGTTAGCAAACAGATGGGACCTCTTTCTCCTGCAGGTTGCCTGAGTTTGGTCAGTGTTTTCAGTTTGCAGACTTGCTGGTGCCCACGTGTTTGCAATATGCCCTCTCTTCTAGCAAGAGGGCTGTGTGACACTGCCTAAACCTCAGCCAGGAGCAGAAGCCTGGGATTCCTGAGGAGGAGGGTGGTTGTCCTCAGCACATGCAAGTTGTCCAAACCTGAGCAGTGGCTACAGTCCTTAAAGGAGACTCTAAAATCTGCAAGTTCAGTACTGCTGATCAGACTATCTGAAAAACTCAGGGTTTGCAACTCCAGTCAGAGAGAAAGGAAGCCAGAGGTTCCTGACTCCTCTAAAAATCTGGCTTTTTGAAGATTGAGGTTTTATAGAAGATCTCAAACTTGAGTATCAGCATGTGGAAAATGAAGGACTTCTTGACCTCTGGAGCCACCGACTCCAAAGAGCCCAAATGTTTCAAACTTGATAATCAGATATCTAAGGCATCACCTTCCATCTTACGTGAATTCTGTGTTTTCCTCTTTTTGTGACATTTTAGGGCACCCATAGCCTGAACTATTCCATCCTAGACCTCCAACATCTACTGAGAGGCAGGGAGAACCAACTGTATAGTAGCATCTGTGACACTGATTAAGAGGACACAAGGAGGCAGAATAAATGTACATTGAACCTACTATTTGTACTTGTGCTTTTATTTTTTCTTTTTTGCATATCAGTATCCCCTTATAAATTCGGAATGAGGTCGTATAGCAGTTGTTTTGATGACTGTTTTTATGATGGGGTTTCTTGTCTAGTGACAATTGAGATCAGCATCTGGCATCCATTAGCTAAAGCCAAAGCTCTCTGAGCAGTTAATTTGGGACATTCCTGGTCCTCTGCAACCTAGACCTTGGGAGGGGTGGTTCTTCAACTCTTCATCAGTCAACGTTGCCCAAGATATTATTTGGATGTCTCTCCGTCTTTGGGGATCTGGGCTCACTTTCTGGTGTGCCTCAATTTCTCCTCTCGCAGCAGTGTGCAAATGGGGTGTCCTCATTCTGCCTTGGTGTCTTTCTTTTCCAGAGCACAGTAATTGTGGAGAAGACTGTTCAAGACCTTATGAACCTCATGCACGACTTGAGTGCCTACTCAGATCAGTTCCTCAACATGGTGTGCGTGAAGCTCCAAGAGTACAAGGACACCTGCACTCTCGCCTACAGGTACACCAAGTAGCTCTGCTCACAGAATAAAGCAAATCACCTTTCTTTCATCACATTCAAGGGTTTTTGGTCTTTCACACTAGTTTCTGCTCTTTCAGTATGGGTGGCAATGGTAGTAGAGCTTGAAAACTATGCTGGCCTTTCTATTAATCTGTTAAAAGTGATCTCAGCTTGGAGGTGGCAAGCACCAGGCATCATCTTTAATATAAACAGTTTTCTATAGCAGTAATGCAAGTAAGATCCTTCAAAGTGAGTGTTCACAAGAGCTTTGAGAAAGCAACCGTATTTTAGCTGGGAGATTTGGGCATTTGAATTTCCTGGCAGTGTAGGAACTCTTCACCACTACGCACCGTAGAGGTAACCTGGGTTTTGTGGCACTTTCCCAAAACCTTTGCTTCAAGGGCTCATCAAACACACTCCATCCCAGGCTGTCTATGCTCATCACCATCTTTGGGAACCCTGTCTCTAACTGTTCCCCATACAGTACTATGACTACTAACACAGCCTGGTCCTATAGGGTTGCCATGCAGGGAGCTGGGGTTGGATTCCTTCGGACACTTGCCTTATCAAAGACTTCCTCATTGACTTTTAGTAGATACTTTCCTTTCTAAACATCTTAGTTGCCCCTCTGATAACTGACCTCCCTTGGAGGGGAGTGTGCCCCTTGCTGCAGGGATAAATACTTGGAGAGCAAGATGCTAACGAGGCTGCAGCAATGCAGGCTGTAATCACTTTGATACCTAATCTCCCTTAAGAGCTAATTGGGGCTGCTGATAGCAGGGGGAAAGGCTGAAAAGGCCCCTGTGTTTTCTGACCAATAGCTTTAAGAAATTATTCCTTAGTGCCTGATCTTATTTAGGGGAAGCTTAATCTGCTGAGTGGGATCGTTGTCATTATTAGTAATAACAGCACTAGCAATAAACACGTATGTGGGGCAAATGCTGTCCGAAGGCTGATGCAGTTTGGTGGCTGCACATATGCAGCTGTCCAAAATATTCATATTTTACGTGAAACTTTATTGCCCAGAACCAAACAATAGAAGTAATTTCCTTGGCTTGAGTTTAAAGGTCCTTCCTCCCCTTCTTCCCTGCTACCAATCCTGGCTTGGGCACCTGCTGAGGAGTAATTAGGGCAGCCCTAATTTGGCAATACCCTGATTACAGCAGGAGGAAAAACAGGAAATGTTCTAGTTTTGCTGCTAGCAAATGACTGACTGAAATAGAAATCTATATCCATTTGAAATGAATCGGAGTGACGTAGCAGGGCCGGGAGCAATTCTGCACCCTTTGCTTATCTGTGAGGTGGCTGTGCCCTCTGCAGGGACTTCCCATGCTGGCATGCCACAGTCCATGCACTCTCATCTGCCAGACCACAGTTTTCCCATGGGATTTTAGAAGGATAAATACTCCTTTGGCCTCAGGTTGATTGTGTGAGTGGAGCGATGATGGTTTAGAGCTGTCTGAAAGCAGAGTAGACCCCATAAAGCCTGGCCTGGTCAACACAAAGAGCTGAAGCTCTTGGGGAAGGGAACATGAATCCTATCTCTCTTGGGCACACGATAGGTGCCACCATCACCTCCAGAGCCCCAGCATGGTCCTCATGTGTGACGCTGCTCTGATCAGCTGACACCAACGATGGGATGTTGGTGGCAGTTGGCAGATTTGGAAAGCAGAAGAGTTTGTGCAAGGACCGTGCCCAGAGGTCAGTCTTTCCTTGAGTGCACAGTTTGTCAAGAATACAAACAAATGTGAATCGAAAATGTTCAAATGCAGAGCTCAAGAGTGTTTTATTTGGCACTCTTTGCATGAAGGAATTCACATCCAAGGTTTTTCATATTTGATTTCCCTTTTGTTCTGATCTTCCTATTGAGTGCAAAGCAACTAATGAGGTTGGATATGAATGGGTTAAATATTTATACACATAGTAACTATGAGTTTCGTATTTTCACTGGTGACAAGTTTCAGAATCATTTTTAATCTGATCTAGATGAGATCTCTGAAGGACAAGGGAAAATCCAACCAACTCAAGGAAGCTGCCCTTAATTTGAGTCTTTCTTTTCAGTTTCTCCCCAGCACCCTTCTCAGATGTGCCTTGATGTCTTCAGCTCCAGAACTAAGCTGTTTCTATATCCTTCTACAATAATTTATCCCATGCTTAGCTATGCTCATGGTAAAGCTGCATGTTCATATTTAGCTGTCTGACTTTGAGCCCTGTCTTGTGTCCTCGACCCTTTTGTCTTGATCTTTCTTCATGCTCCCACACTCAACCAACCAGCTCAACCATACTCAACCAAGCAGTCTTTTTGAGATGTAAATTGTCTTGGTGGTTCTCAAAGCTTTGGTGACGCAGGAATGACTCCTCCACCAGGATGAGCACCTGTTTCTAAGCTCTTACCATTGTGAGAAAACCTCACTACGGTAACATGACCTTGGCACTGGGAAGAGAAAAAATCATTCCCAAATACATCTGCACAAAACAGAAGTTTTAGGAAATGTGTTTTCCTAAGAAAAAGCCTTGGTTGTGTGCAGGGACAGTCCCACTATGCTGGGCAGGCAGCAATGCAGATGAGGAATGCTAGTGCTGGCAGACGTTTGATGATTAAAACTTGCAGAACTGTGGAGGGGACAACCTTCATCGCCCCTTCACCACTGCCTGTGCAAACATCACACCTCTTCCCTCTTTTCTCCCAGGAGTTGGATGCCACCACCCCTGCAGATGGCACTTTTCCATGGCCAGTTGAGCTGTAAATTAATGTGTAGCTTGTAGCACTGGTGGTAACAAGTATATCCTCGTTGAAGTGACAGGAGTAATTACCTATGGCTTGGAAGGGGCGGGAGAAGGTGTTTGAACGAAAGCATTGGGAGATACATGCTAAAATATGTCATCGTGTCCTAGATACTGATCTTGAGGACCTGAATTAGATTGACATTGATAGGAAGTTATGGAGGTTGGAATTTGGCTGGGGTGTAAGAAACAAGGAGTTTTGAGCAGGGATGGTGGAAATGATGGAGAAGAATGGGTGTCTGATGAGTCCACGCTCTTCAGCGTCTTCATTAATGAGGGGGTGGTTGGAGTTAAAACCAGCATGTTGATAAAAATCAGGAGGCATCACAATCATGAGAAGAATGAGGAAATAATTCCAAGGGGCCTACTTGGAGCAGTGTCTCAACACTGATTAAATCCAACTCTCTATGGATTTCGATGGAGAATTCTGCTCGGAGCCCCAAGGACATTTGGTCCCAGATGTGGCATAACGCTAAGAAGCAAGAAAGACTGGAACTACATGGGCTAAGCTTGGCAATGCTGACCCTGGAAAAGCAAGGACACCCCAAGCTCAGTCCGAATTTGCAAATTGATATTGTGGCAAAAGAGCTTCCTCTTTCTCCTTTCCTGATGCCCACTCCAAAAAGCAACAGGATTTGGGATGGATGCAGATATTACAGGTCATAAAACAGGGAGGTGGCTTTGTCCTCTCTACAGCTCCTCAGAAGACTGCCAAAGATGACACTCATTCCCTGGGCTGCGATAAGGCGGTAAATAATTGAAGAGTGCAAACAGTAAGAGCAGTGATGTACGGAGGCTGCTGCAGGGAAAATTACTGGGAGTAATGGGTAGAAACTGAGTAAAGTAAAACATAGGCACGCTGTCAGGATTTTTCCCTTCTTTTTTTTTTTTTTTTTTTGACCAAGAGTTGTATTTATTCAACTGTGAAATAGACTCCCAAGGGAAGGAGTCTATTACTGTAGTCATTTAAATTCAGCCCGGACAAAGCACTGACTAATGTAGTCCAGGGAACAGTTGTCCTGCCTCGGAAGAGAAATGGCTAGAAATCATTTAATTCTTATTTTAGGTTTTTTTTTTTTTCTGTCTTAGATGTCAAAGATTCTGCTAGAGCATTTATTTTTTCTTATTTTTTTCTTAGTTTTCACTAGGGTGTTAGGTAGAACCTTCCTTTTCACAAATGGAAAAACACGGAGTTCCTAATAGCAGCAGAAGGCCAAATTGAAATTTCGATGCTGAGGTCTTCTGTGGCTGGAAACAAAACTCATTCTTTTTTGTTTGTGGCAGATTGAACATGAAATTTAAAAATACGTAAAATTCAAACGTAAGTATATGTGACAAATTCATTTTCACGAATAACATGTACTTACTGAGCGGAGGTTGTTTTCTTGGTGGGTGAAAGAAATGATGGGTTGCTCAGTGCTGGTGGGAAAAGAAGCAATTTGCTCTATTTCAAGACAGATCAGTGTTGGCTCATGCCTTGATGCCCTTTTCACTGTGCTCTTTTTTGAACCTCCTGTACTCAATGTGTTATTGCATTTATTTCTGTTTATTGACATCCACATGCCTTTCAAAAAATGGAGAGTGGGACTGGTTAATTCACATAACCCCTTATAAAGGTGCTGCATCTTTATTGCGGTCTTTCGTGACCCTTCCCAAAATGAGAACCTGAATGCTCTGGTTGATGTGAGGTTGATTTGCCATATGCACCATGCTGGCTTGGGTCCAGCAGCAGCACGGCCACGCTCTGTGCTGCCCACGAGAGCTCCACAGGTTGCAGATTGAGTTGGCACAGCCTGAACCTGCACAGATAAATCCATGCTGCATGACCCAACAACTCCATATCTCCTTGAAAAGATGCAGCATCAAACCTCCGCATCTTTTGGAAGGACACAGTATCTATCTTCAATAGGTTCTTCAACAGTTCTTCAGTAGTTGCAGAAATAGATCCGCCATTGACAGCTCTTCGTAGGACACAGTAAAGGACACAGTAAAAACAAACTACTTCTAGATGCCTTGTAGCTTTGGGAGCAAGGGATGCTGCATGTTTGAAGGGCAAATGCAGGAACTTTGTCTGTAGGAGGTTTGTAAGACGGTCTTGCTCTGATCAGTCTTGCAGAGCATGGGGGAGGTGGTGAGTCTGTTGTTAATTAGCAGCTAAGCATCTCCTTAGGAGGGGGATCTACTGAGGCTTTATCTTTTGGATGCGTCCTTAACCATCATTTCTCTCTGTAAGAGGGGGAAAAATACTTCCTAGATCCTTGCAATCTGCAGAACAAACCAAGACTGAGTGCGTGCTTTCCCCCTCAGCTCACCGGAACCCAGTGAAATAGGAAACATTACTGAGGACTGGGCTATATAGAGTCATAGAATCGTAGGATCCTTAAGGTTGGAAGGGACCTGTAGAGATCATCTAGTCCATCCCCCTGCTCACGCAGGGTCACCTAGAGCAGGTGGCACTGGCCGCGTCCAAGCGGGTTTTGAAGATCTCCAAAGAAGGAGACTCCACAACCTCTCTGGGCAGCCTGTTCCAAGGCTCTGTCACCCTCACTCTTAAGAAAATTTTCCTTAAGTTCCTGTAGAACTTCCAGTGCTTCAGTCTGTGGGCTGTAGTCCTATCAGTGGCCACCAGTGGCTGGCCACTGAAAAGAGGCCACCCACCTCCTCCTCCCTCCCTCCCTTGAGGTATTTATACACACTGATCAGGTCCCCCCTCAGCCTTCTCTTCTCCAGGCTGAACAAGCCCAGCTCTCTCAGCCTTTGCTCACAGGGCAGATGTTCCAGGCCCCTGATCATCCTGGTAGCCCTGCGCTGGACTCTCTCCAGCAGCTCCACATCCCTCTTGTGTCTTGAGCTGGACACTACTCCAGATGTGGCCTCCCCAGGATTGTGTATAGGGGGACGATCACCTCTCTCAACCTGCTGGAGACACTCTTCTTAATGCACCCCAGGATCCCATTGGCCTTCTTGGCCACCAGGACTCACTGCTGCCTCATGGTCATCTTGTCATCCACCGTGATGCCCAGATCCTTCTCTACAGAGCTGCTCTCTAGAAGGTCATTCCCCAGCCTGTACTGGTGTCTGGGGTTATTCCTCCCCAAGTGCAGGACCTTGTGACCTATAGGATCTATATGTGCTGATGGTCATTCATGAGCAATCATGACACAGAAATCATGCAGCTAGCTGGCTTCTTCCAATGCAGCATCATTTTTGTCTTCTGGGGTTGCCAGTGAGGATTTCATATTAGTTACACGGCCAAAAATATTAAATGGGGAAAGTCTTCATAGTTGGAATGTGCTACGGTCTTTGATTCAATTTTACCCGTACATACGATTCAGCCGAAATCTCTATTATTAGAAGTTTTGGATGGCTGGAGAGTGGATCGAGGACCCTTCATTTCCTTTCATTGCTTCAGATGTCCTCCCCAGGTTGGGCCAGCTGGTGTGCACTGCGTTGGTGGCTTCCACCCAGGTCTCACTGGGCAGGTTTCCACGCTGCAGTCACAACACAATCAGCAGAGGCTGGCAGGCTCAGTTGAGATTGCAGACACCAAATGAGCCAGAGAGGAACTACCTTCTCCCTCTCCTGCACACAGAATCACCATCTTTGTTGTGCAAAACTCGAATGACTAAAAGAGAAGGAGAATCTGGTGCCTTATCTTTTCAGGGACCTGATGTAGGTACATCTAGAGAGGTGAGTCAGAGAAGTTCACATCATATCCATGAGGTGTTGACCTCCTTTGCCCAGAAGATTATGTTCTTTGTTGAATTGCTGTTTGGACTTGTCGATCACTGCAGTTTGCTTTGCACGTGTACGGGATAGGGATTTTATTGAATAATTGTGGGATCCCATGATGAGAACGATTTGCTCCGCCCTAATCAGATTGTTGCTGGTTTCTCGTAGGAGCATCGTGCAGTCAGACGAGAAGCTGGTCATCAGCGCCTCCTGGGCTAAGGATGACGATATCAGCAGACTCCTCAAGTCCCTGCCCAACTGGAGCAACATGGCTCAGCCCAAGCAGTTGAGACCCAAGAGGGAGGAAGAAGAAGACTTTATAAGGTAAAATATTTCAGAGTTGAAGCCATAATACAAAATCATGATGTTTTTGTAATTGTTGTGTCCCTGAGCGTGAGAGGGTGTTAAGGTATGTGGTCTCTCCTTCAGAAACGTAAGAAAGCCTATGTCCACATGCCACTAGGATGTATAACGTTAAAGGCAGGGACCAGCTTTGGTGAACTAACACTTTACTGTCCAAAAACTTTCCATATGTTACCAGGATTCGGGTCTGTTGACTGTACCAAGAAATCACTGGGAACATTTATTGTTTTTGGGAGCTTCCTGGACTCTGTTTATCAGTGCCTATCCATCATGGATTGGGAGATAAACCTGCTTGAACTTCTTTACCCTTCAAGAGAGGGGAGGAAGTGAAGCTGCTTCTGTATCCAGCAAGGACAGAAGAGCAAGTCCATAGTTCAACAGAGAGGTTTCAGTGGCAGTGCCAGCTTGCTGCTTTCCTGGCCTTACTGCTCGTTCCCACTTGCTGTGTTATTCAGACACGACTGTTGGAAAAATTGTGCTGTGAACCAGATCAGGAAGGTTGGAAAAAGAGAAAGAATAATTTTTAACTCAGGTGGTTCCTTGCTTTGCGTCATGGTGCTGCCTTGACCACCCCAGCACCAACACAACAGGGAGAGCAACACTGTGACCTGCTGGAAAGGCCAAATGGTTGTACTGGGCAGGAGTTCCTCGGGTTGACACTGTCACCAGAGCTGTCCAGCATTCAAACCATGACCCAGAGGTGTTTCACCTGTGTCCCAAGCCCAGGAGCTATGTAAAGAAAGCAAAAAGGTCACAAGTCTTGAAAAATAGTGGTAGTTCCACAGGGGTTTCTTTCAGAAGCAGATTATTGTATCTGAACAAGGTTGTTTATGCCTATTTTTTAAGGGAAGTAAGAGCCTAAAACAGCTTCTGAAGAGACAAATGGACAGATTGCTGTTCCCCACACACTGTAAATTCCTTAGTTTCTGAATCATTGGCGCATATTGAGGAAAGCAGCCTTCTCTGTCACTCCAACAAGCCACAGAGCTTGCCTGTGATTCCCATCACTATTCATCACTTCCTTGATTGGCATTTGGCTATAAAACTGTAGGAGTAAGTGAAGCTGTTGAAAATTAAAGTCTAATTTGCCCAGATTGTCATTTTACTTATTCATGTGAATTCGAGAACAATAACATAAAGATGACGCAGTCTAGAGAGAGGAACGACAGAGAGTGTAAAATATGTCTAGTCACAGAAGCGTTTGCTCATATTGGAGTGGGAATAATCAGCATGATAGTGGTTCAGAAATCTGTGGTTATTCTGGAAGAGAGAAGCATGCAAGAGCCTGTGAGCTCTTTGTGCAGCCCCTGGGTTTTGTTTTTTTGAGGTTTTTGGGTTCAGTCCTGGCCCCCATCTTTACCTTCGTCTTTCTCCTCTGTTTCTTCTGCTCAGACTTGCTTGGGGATTTAACCAGCCCTTGGCATTTGCTGGGATGTCCTCCCAGACGGTGATTTCTGAAGCAGTGTGCTCGGGAAATACAGAATTCCCATGGGATAATGCAGGGCATTGTGGATTGAACTGCATCTGGGAGTGTGAATTCCCAGCCAGACCGCAGCCGATGGCCAAGCTCACGTTGGCTTTAGCAGACTCAAAATCTTGATCCCAACATCCATTTAATTCTGATGTTATTTTATCATCCATCCATTGAAACGTTTCCTCCGGTTGTATCAGGGGTATTAGAGTGGAAAGGCCTATTTGTCATCTGTGAAATCGCTGTGCCCTGTCCTGCTGCTTGTTTTCAACCTAGACAAGAGGACAAATTTCTTCTCTTGCTTCTGTGTTTGCACAGAGCATCATATTTTAAGCTCCAGTTCCTCAGAGTGCTGTTTGAACAGTCCTGTAGCATTAATTTAAATGATAATAATTGGCCTGGGCCCTCTTTAGCCATTGATGGTAAGCAACATGGCTTAAAAAGTTCCTAGAGAATTCGTGCCATGGTTGAATAGGTCTCTCCCGTAAGCTTAAAAATAAAATTAATTGCTTGTCCATTTTTTTTGTCATCTTCTTTCTGCTTAAGCATATTTTATCAGACTTTCTCCTAATACAAAGTAACATGATTTCTTTTTGCTGCAGTTCTTTTTCTTCATCTTGGTATTGCGGATGACTTGGGAGAGACGCTGCCGTAGCGTTCGCTGCCTGAACGCTGCACAGCCGGAGGGAAATGGGTCCTGGAGACACATGGTTAAGGCTCCCATCGCTGAGATGAGAGGAGAGGAGAGCTTATTTCATCCTGACTGTTTAACCATCCATCACTTCGATGGATAGGAACCCCATCACTTTGATAGATAGGTACCCACCTGTGTTAGACCCCGTTCTCCAGCTAGCAGGGACAGGAGTTCCTGTCCCTTCTTTAAAAGGAAGGTTTGGAGCAACAAGGGAAATCAAGAGAGAGGTGAAGGCGTCTTGGGAGGAAAGATGAGATCTCATTTCTCTCTAAGGGAGCATCTATGGGAAGAACTGAGGGAACTGCACTGAGTACAACCTGCTCCGCAGTCCCTCCACTGGTACCCAGTGCAGAGAAGGGAGTGATTCTTATCCAAGAAGCCCAGTTGTTCTTGAAGAGCAAACATACTCAAAGGGGAACGAAAGCTTTTCATTAAAACAACAATTTCCTTAACGGACTCCAGAGGGCAAGCTGTGATTGAAGTCCTCTCAGCCGTGCTCCGTTTTTCATGCGAGGGAAGGAAACCGAAACATGGGAGTGTGTTGAGCTTGGACATAAAACAGCACTGACAGCTCTGCCTGAGCTCCTCGGTAGCCTCACTTTACAAATGCTGCTAAATTAAACACATCCCGAAAGTTTAGCACTCGGTTTTGAGCTGCGGCAGGAGGAGATGCCAGTGTCCTGCTTGCTTTCCCTTCCCCTCCCCAGGTTTCCTGTAACTCATTTGTTTAATTAGAGTGAAGACTCCAACAGCAGCGCCTTTCCAAAAAAAAAACTCATGCATGTCTGCGTTGGCAGTGATTGATTCTGTTGTCTTAACCTGCCACTATCTCCTTTTTTTTTATTTATTTTTTTTGCAAATAGATGTCAAAAGGCGGGGTAAGATGCTAACAGAATCTCCCCATTAATATTCCTGTGAGGTTGGCCAGACAAAGAGACCTGATTGAGCATATTATAGTAGCTCAAAAAACTTGGCAAGGGGCGAAAGGAATGAAAAGTCATGCCTCTGTGTTGTATAATTAGTTTTTAAAGCTCTGAAGGCTACTTGGCACCGGCGCGAGTGCGAAATGTGCTGCCCTCATTGCTTTATAAAGGTTAGCCTGCAGTTCATTACCGAATCAGATATGTTGGTGATAAAACCCGAAGACGTATCATCATTTCCAGGTTTGCCTGTGACAAGGGAAAGGAATGGCAAAAAAAAGACGTGGGCTCTGGCTGCCCTTGAGTCGCAGATGCAGCTCGTGGACTTGGGTGCTGCTCTGCAGCATGGGGGCGAGCAGGACCACGAAGCAGGAGAGCTGAGGAAGGACACGCCGGCGATCCTGGGGGCAAAGCATCTGCCTAAGCCCGGCTTGGTTTGCAGCTTGCACCGCGCTGCGGTTTATTCTGGTGGCAGATCTCCGCTCCCCGGCGTGCGTTAGGGGGAAGATGGAGTGATTTCATTTCTTCTCGCCTCTTTGACACCAGCAAGCTCCCAAACGCCTAAATTTGCATCTGATTCTCAGGGTGAAGTTAATGGAGCCAGAAAAAAATTCTCAGCATCGCTATGTACCGTATGACTTTTCCTTTCCCTGCTTCCTTTTTTTTTTTCTTTTTAATGAGGATAACCCTGCTTGCAGAAGGCACTGGTTGCTGGCTGCATCCCTCACTGCCACTGCTCCTCTGTTTGCCTGCAGATGCATCCTCACGAGCTCTGCATCAAAAGAAGGGTTCCTGTGCTAGCAATGTGGAAGGTGACCTGTGCCTTCCCCAAATCCTCCCTTAACCTTTCTTCTGATCATTTAAAATGTCATTGTTCAGGACAGTTACACTGTCCCTGTGTCTTATTAGGGACCTCTTGTCTTTACTAGGGACCTCTCGTCTTGTTAGGGATCTCTCGTCTTCTCTTGCTTGGTGCTGATACTCTGACAATAGGGGCCTTGTCATCTGCTGTAGCTTGAACCACTGATGCTCAAATGCTAGTGGTCCTAGTTTAGTGTTGGGTGAGCTTTCCAAGGCATAATTTTGGCCAAGGGAGTTCTCCCAGGAGAGGCAGCTGTGTGGACACCATGAGCCATGACTCCATCCCGTGGAGCACACCCAAAATGAAGAGTTAAGGTAGTCTCAAAAATATACATATTGAGATTGTAGCCCGGGAACAACTAACTCTCTATCCTCTGTGTGTCACGCAGCAAATGTCCCATGTGCTGTAGGAGAGGGCATGGCCCATTGGGACCACCCAGACTCCCCAGCCACACTTGACAGTGATGGGGTTGCATCACCAGGGTTTCTTCTGAACATGCAAGCAGCAAAGACACTCATACATCCCCCAGTCTGCCCTTGGTGGCACTTGAGCTCTACATGTCACCAGCAAGGATGCTGAGCTGCCCTTCCCACTGAAGTGTATGTGTCAAGATGTCCTTATCCAGCCGGAGCTCTGAAATGCTCCTAGTTCTGGACATGGCTAGCCTGAACCAACTGACTTCTTGAGAGTGTTGCTTGCAGTGATTATCCGTGCAAGCAGCAGGAGTGATCAAACCAGTTGATTGCGTGCTGGAAACACTTGAGAATGAAATCTCGCCTCCTCTGGTTTTCATCGGGGGCCCAGCGCAGAGCTGATGATGTGTAATTAAGTGTAGCTCCGTTCCAAATGCAAAGCTTTGGGTAGTCCGGGGAGCGGGATGCAGATTTGAAGGAGCTAGTGGTTTGAGGCATGTCTGCTGTCGCACTGAAGTGATTTAGAAGGGCTCCCAGGAGCTCTTCCACGGAGCCTGCTCAAGGGCAGTCAACTCAACGGATGGGTCCTACGCTCCAGGCC